TTGAGCGAGGAGTGATCAAAGCCAATGAATCTCCAAGAAAGTTCAAGAAGACGCGTTCAGGGGAAGATGGATGATCAGTTTTTGTAAATAAATGCAAATTAGAGTTTTGCTTCCCCGTCCAATGGTCTGTAACCGGTCAGTTGGCGTTTCTTAACAAACATCTCCGCAGCAAGGGCCTTCTTACTTTCATTAGTACTCAAAAGGGGTATTTTTCGGATATGGTTGTCGAAAGACAACCATTTTTCAAGTAGCATGAGATAGCTGCGCTTCAGGGTGAAGAATGCTCACAGAAATAGTTCTTGTGGATTCGGATTCCTTTAATCAGGTCAATCCGTCCATTTCACTCGTCCGGTCCATTTGTGGACGTAAGCCACACAAAGAACTCGTAAGAAAAACAAGTTTGTCATGGAGGTTTGGAATGAATCCCAGTTGAGAAGCCATTTCTAGGGCCTTGAGAGGACGCTGCTTAACCGAGAGTAGTTAGTACCTGTAGTGGGTGTGTCAGCTTTTGGAATTTAAAATAATTTTGGTGGGCAAAATTTGCAAGGTCCCTAACTATCGTTGAGATAGTGTGTTGCAAGGTGTGACACATTTGTCGATCACTTGCCTCAGCTTGCTATAATTCCTTACCACTGTTTCCAAGACTCATATGCCAGCTGGAAAGCTAACTGATACCCAGTGTTACTTCTAGAAGAGCCTTACACCATCTGAAGTGGATGGTCTCTTAAAAACAGGCAAAGTCGGGCAGAAGTTCTCTTTACAAATAAAAAACTTAAGCGATTTCAGGGTGGACCCTTTTGTCTTGAAGTAGGCGGTAAGTTGTCAGGCTTTATGAGGATTTTACGTCTGAATGTTAGGATGGTTAGAGTAAATACCGGTGGCTCGATTGTTCCTTTGGTGCTCTGGTAGTGCAACTTACACTGTAGACCAGGCAAAGCAAACATTATTCGATGGTTGATTGATGGATATCCTCAATGTTCTCATGTATTTTTGTGTGCGTTCTCCCAATGATGTGAGCATGTGGTGTTCTTCTCTGTCAAACATTCTCTGATAATCAATCACACAAACAATTTTGGTCAGTCCCTCTCATTCGGTTTGATAAATTTGTTGAGATGAAGTTGATCATTGGTGCTCGGACTGTAATGCACGGTTGTCCAGAAATTTCGTTTAAAGCTAACCTGAGATTTTTCAACGATAAAGCACTAGTCCATTACGTCACCTGATGTGTCGCCAAATCACGGTCGTCAATGACAACTGCTCTGCAACTAGGCGGTAATAACAAGTGTTTGTAATTTCTCGAGGAGTCGGAGATATTCTTCACAATAATTGTATCATTCTTGTGGTATATATCCAGGACAACCGTGATTAGTGGTTGCATAAACTTCCCTATTTGTCCTATGTACAGCTTGTTTCCAGCAATCAATCGGGCCACGTTGAGTTATGCGCGAAACCTCAAAATTGAAAACGCTCGAATGAAGGTTGTACAAACCTCAACTCATGCGACTACGTCGGCTTCTTTACACCGGTTCATGAACTGCTGGTTCCTAGCCAGGACAACCGTGATTAGTGGTTGCATAAACTTCCCTATTTGTCCTATGTACAGCTTGTTTCCAGCAATCAATCGGGCCACGTTGAGTTATGCGCGAAACCTCAAAATTGAAAACGCTCGAATGAAGGTTGTACAAACCTCAACTCATGCGACTACGTCGGCTTCTTTACACCGGTTCATGAACTGCTGGTAGCGGGCGGGATCCCAAAGTTCACACCGACTCAAGCCAAAGTTAGTGTAACCCACGTGTCGACTTAAACAAAACGTGCGATGACAAGGTCAAGGCGGTTTACATTCAGGTCGAAACTAAAAATTGGTACAGGCGCAAAACCGAAACAACAAAAACGGGGAATCAAGTACAGAATAAGAATAGAGGAAAAGAATCAACACTGCCCTAAATCCAGCGTGGCTTTCCTGGATCAACCAACTCATTCTATCGCATGAAAGAATAAGATCAACGTGAATGGTTCTATTGGTCTAGCCAAAAACACGTCCCTCTATTTGGAGCATGGGCCTAGGGTGGGTAAGCAATTAGTTTTCTTCTACTCCTTCCAGTAGGCAGTATGTCGCACCTAACCTTACTAGACACAGTCCTTACTAGGACTTCCCATATATGGCCATCACTTCTGAGCTTGGTTTCCACTATGATGCCTTTCTCCCAATGTCCAAAATTTGGATTTTCTCCGCTGAATAATACAAAGCCCTTAACTTGAAAATCTAGACGGTTTCGCATTCACTTGTGTCGTAACTTTGAATGCGGAATGTACTCCCTCTATCATCGACGCGTATATGGGTCACATGACTTCATGAATCAAGCTCTCGCCGCATAAATAACAAGTGACTAGGGGTCACCACGTCTAAGGTAATTGGATCATTGTAGACAGGTACAGGTGGACCGTTATTTAAGATGCGCCTCACATCAGTGAAGAAAGCAAACAATGATACGTCACTCAACACTTGCCCGCGGGAGACAGCACTCAGTACTCGGCGGATAGATCATATCTGACGCTCTCATACTCTACTGACACAGGGAGGATTAAAGTGCCAATTTATCCCTTTGGCTAACATCCACTTGTTAACGGGATCGTAATTCAGGGATTTGGGAAATTACCAAAGTTTTAGTTCGACTCCAACGCTTAACAAAACGGGAAAGTGCCATAAGTAATGGATGAGTCCCAAAAAATAGGAAATTGCTTCCTCGACTGTCATCTCTCGCGTACAAAAATCCACACCGCTGTCGGGGAAAGTGTAATCATGTTCAACTCTGCAGAATAGTAAGGATTCCAGAAGCTGATTCACCGGCTTCGCCGACCCTGGCCAACACCCACGTACAAGCCATTGAACTGCGGCTGCCCTTTTGACAACCAGAAATTTCCGACGCATAACAGCTGGGACATGCGACGCATTAATGTGCCCTTCCAACTCATGGTAGGATCTAATCAAACAATGTGTTACTGTCGACTAGGAATTAGGATGGAATGTCAGCTCTTTTGCAGCCTTCTTCCGACATGTGACAGTCCTTCAAGAAGTGCTGGAGAGATAATTTACCTAGCGTGTTTGGTGACTACAAATTCTGGGTGACATCGGGACTTGATTCCCGGTGAAGGAATTATATAACTGGTTCAAGGCGTACCGTTTCACTATTGAATATTCTACTGCTCTCAATTTATGAAGCCGCGGAGCGCTAAGTGAGAGCATGAACTTCTCTCCTTTGTTTGACTTTACGTGGAGGTATAATTTGAATCGCGTCATCCATACAATGGTTTGTTCCAGCCTTGTACGTGAGGAATAGTAAGAGAGCAGTTTGCCAAGTGCTAATTCTTAAGAAAAAACTGTAGTATTTGAAGCAGTAGGCTGATTTTGAGGCTCGATATACTATCAGCAAGGCATTTAGCGTTCAGTGTTGACCACACGTGTTCTGGGAATCGTAGAAAGGCTGGGCCATTCAGCCAAATGTCTGGACCGTCCAGCGACTCTCCTCTTAGGATCCTGGAATGGCTATCATGATCCCCACGATTGTGGCATGCACGACCTCCGCCATTGAAGTCTGTGCCCCCTTGAGGAGAAAAGCTCCGTGCTTTCCTCCATTTGGACCTACGAACTCTTCTGTCCTGACTTTTAAGCTGGGTTACTGGATGGAGGTAAAGTTACCATTTTCTCGTGGCTCTCTCACCAGTATTACTTCATTGCTAGCAAACTCTATCACCTTTCTTGACCCAACGCTCTCATCAAATAGCCGATCAGCTATACCCATTTGAAACGCTTTCACCAAATTCCAAAATGCCATCTGATTTCTGTCAAACATATCTATTTCTACTTCCGGCAGATTGGCAGCTAGAGCAGTGGGGCATTGGTCAACATGCACGCCGTCCTGCATTTCCTGCATATTTTCTACTCATATTCTTAGACTTTCGTGGAGATTCTGCTTCCTGTGGGTTGACTTTCTCGAAGATCTATTAACTGAATGAAAACCCTCGTCAGTGGACTGTAATCCAGTCGATACAATCCAGATATACTGATGGAATTTGGAGTACTCAGTGATGTATACCACAGTGTCCTAATGGCTAACAAACGACCTAATGTATACCCAGTTCCTTGAACGGTGATGTCTCCTCTTAATAAAAAGAGAGAATGAGAGCCTCTCCGTATTTTCCACAAACTATCTTTGTCAACTTAACTTCTAAGCTTAAACCGGATATCACTGTCCATACCTGACCACTGTAGCGTTAACCTTATGCTCTGTCGGTGACGCACATTTAGGGCAACGCAGACATGTCACTGAAATGTACAAAAGTTTGCTGAACATTTCTATTTGACAGGAGTATCTTCCGATTTCCTCACTTCCCCAAAAGAAAATGTTCCCCTTCCCGTTCCTACAGGGCTCACATTACACGGAAAGCGACATTTTGACACCATGTGTGATCGATAGCTTCTTCACCACAGCGTGATGTCTTCCAGCTCAATGAACTGCATTCAACACGCTACACGCTGTTCTCTAATCTGCTTTCCGAATAATCGAAGTCATCCCTACGACCGCACTTCATCCCCGTGTTCGTGTGTTAGTTTGTGGTCAGCCCTCTACATACCGAGCAATGGTGTTGACCAGTCCTGCGTGGTGAGCGATGGACGGACAGGCGGTCGGTATGGCAGACATAAACAGGCGAGTTTTGGGCAGTGTTTTGGATAGACCGAAAACATCCAGCCAATCCGAGCGCAGGACTGGGATGTCATAGTTACTAAACTGGGCGTACAAACCACTAGCATGTGTTAAACCAACCATAGCCTTGTTTTGGTTGGGAAAGCACGCACACCACATCACGAGCACTAAAGCAGCTGCTTCATTCCAGACCAGTTTGAAAATTTGTGCATCCAGTGAACTATGCAAGCACCTCGTTCCTGTTGACGCCTAAATAACCGTGCCCCAATCAACGAGATCTGATAGCAGACTGCAATGCCTTCCGTTTCATTTGCGTCAGACACTCGCCCGGGGTCTGGACAACAGGTCGATTCAAACAACGATAAGTCCGCCCACGGGCCATCACATATTGGCAGGAACAATAATTCAGGCAACCCTGTTTCAGGCACGGATAACGCAACCGAATCCACACAACTACGCGTGCCGACTACTATGCCTTCTTTGGCTCGAGGATTTTCTCTCGTTCCAGAACGGCTTGGGAAGCGTGGTTCGTACAAAAAACAGGGGAACAAAGGTATGTTTGGATGTGAAGCTGCCATGCAACTGTTGGCCTATCTGGCCGCCCTCCTCACTTTGCCCTTTTCTTTGTTCATGTGCTTGAAAGTGATAGCACAATACGAAAGAGCTGTGGTGTTTCGGCTTGGGCGCCTGGTTTCAGAAATACCAAAAGGTCCGGGATTGGTATTCATCCTACCTTGTTTAGATAATGTGAAAACAATTGATCTGCGCACCTTCACTTTCAATGTGCCAACACAAGAGGTGCTGACCAAGGACTCGGTCACTGTGGCCGTAGATGCTGTTGTCTATTACAGGATCTTTGATCCTGTAATGTCGGTTGTAAATGTGGAGGACGCGAACAGGTCTACTCGTCTACTGGCTCAAACAACTCTACGGAATGTATTAGGTACGGTGGATTTGTACCAGTTGCTCACTGCAAGAGAGCAAATCGCACACTTGATGCAAGATTGTTTGGATACAGCAACGGAAACATGGGGTGTCAAAGTGGAGCGGGTTGATATCAAGGACGTGCGTCTGCCTATTCAGTTGCAACGTGCCATGGCAGCAGAAGCTGAAGCGGCTAGAGAGGCCAAAGCGAAAGTGATAGCTGCTGAAGGGGAACAACGCGCTTCGGTTGCACTGAAGGCGGCCGCGCTAGAGATTGGCGAGTGCCCCATCGCCCTGCAACTTCGCTACTTACAGACGTTAAGTAGTATTTCAGATGAAAAGAATTCCACAATTATCTTCCCCTTGCCAATCGATTTACTAAGCTTATTCCATCAGAATCTCAGTGGAAATGGAGGAAGTTCCTCATCCAGAGTGGGTAGCACCCAAAGTGGTACGCCTCCGGACAATGAGCCAAGAATCGGTGGTCCACCGCCTCCACCGCCGAGGGAAGGACAAACTACTGCATCTCGCCAATATGTTGCACCGCAGAAAACGGAATCAGCAGAGGAGGATTTGATATAAACTCAACAAATGGAATAAATATTCTTGCCCAGTAATCATCAATAATACCTCAACTAATGCTGTTCACGCCTCATTTTTCATTCCAACTAGCACTTTCCTCTGGTAACTTCAATTCAGCATGCCGCACCCATCCGGACATCCAACTGGAAACTAATGCTGCCAATGTTTCCTTACACGGCCAGTTCAGTTGGTGAGTAATTGCTAGTCTTGGCTTTTCCCAAGCTTAGTACGCCACACGTCAACACACACATTCATGATCAGTGAAGAATGATACTATCGTGTTCTATGTTGCTCACCACCATCAACAAATACTTGTGTAAACTCCGTCGATATGATGGATCGCACACTTTAACTCACGGATTACGTGACCTGTGCGAACAACAATTTTACAGTGGCCGGTAAGTTGAACAAATGAATGAAGCTGAACCCACCCTGCCATTTGTATGAGTATGTGTCTTCCTCCGCTTCCGTTGTTTTGTTCCACACTACCCGCCCCCCGAAGTGCGGACCTTAACTCATCTATCAATGTTTCCCACTAGTCTAATAACTTTGTGGAACGTATAATCAATGCATCTGTTCTCAGTCATCTTTCTGTTTCTATAACAATCTGTATCAAAATCTGATATTTGAGAATGTCCCTTGCTAGTCCTATGATCACTAGGATATGTGAAAAGAACGTAAATAGAACAATGTAAATAAAACGTTTGGTCCCGTTTCACTATGTTATCTTTTACCTTGCTGCCAGCTCGTTCACGCTGGTTCACGCCTGTTAGCAGACAAACCGCGGTTTGGTGTATCATGACGACCGTGACCAATCACGTGAGTGAAACAGCCGTAGATCATATCGGGGATCGATAACTTGTGGCCTATTAGTAGGCACAGCCATGTGTGGTTTCAATGGGAAAGTTCCAACTAAAAATGTGCGTGCACGCCAACAGTAACGGCGTTTGGGAACGGTTGGTAATGAGTGAATTACGAGTCGGCCCCAATAGTTCAACAAAAAAACACGTGTGCTATCATGCAGTTTACCTGAGGAAGACAATCAGGTAAAGTACACCAAGAATGTTGAAAGAATTAGATAACACCGAAGAACAAAGCAAATACTACTGAAAATCGTCATTAGAGTAGGAGTACTTTTTGCTATTCATCAAAACTCAACATTCCCGAATGTTTAGCAATTTGCCACTATTCACAAATATTTCATTACTGGAGAAGAAATACCCACTCAGCTTCAACAGTGCAATGCATACCTCCACTTGTACTGAAGAGGATTGATCAGGGAAATAATCTGCCGAGATATTCTCTGTCGGAAATCACAACGGATTCACCTTCTAAGAACAAACTGTAGTTGAGAAAAAAGGACCTTAAGATCTTTTCATAAAGGAAACCACTCACAAGGTTGCTGAAAACTCTTCGGCAGCGCACGACCGGTTTCGCCCTTCTTGGGGCTCGTCAGGTATGCGCAGTCCCCGAGTTTCCGTCAACCCCAAGATCTCTTGTGTTATATTTTCTCCGTAAGTCCGTCCGTCTACCAGATGTTAAGACAAGCCGACCAGCACTAGGCGGAAGTGGACAATTCCGCAGGATGTGACGTCGGTTCTACGATCGAAAGTTTTACAGGAGAAGTATGACATAAAAAGTTCATTTTTCTGGCAGTTCATTCAAGATTTTTACTTGCGCGTAGCCATTCACACGTGTTATTTACAGATATAGTCTAACCACGGACCGTGCACCGTTTCGTTTGCCTAACACGGGGCATCAACGGAACCGTTCATGATTGTCAGTTTCCATCGAAATTCTCATGAAGGGGGACATAGGATTGTGCTTCTGAACTCGGCTCATGATCAGATCACTTCAGCCGCCACATCTATTTGTGAGTGAGCAAATTTTATACGAAATGAACGTCCGTTTTGTGCTTGCCCAGTGCATTAGTTGGTTCCTGTAGGTGGCGATGCTCCCTAACACTGACTGCACACAGCTTAGGAACACATTTTTCGCAGAGAGTTCTGTTCCAGATTTCGACACACCGTTTGCCCACTTCTACCTGGTGAACACAGTGAGAGAGGTTTCTAAAAAAATAAGGAGAAAAAATTCATGAACCGATGCTCCGCAAGTTGGACAGACCTTGTTATGAATACTTACTCGAAAATTAACCATAATGCGGAAAACAGGGGCTACAACAATCTGAACCTATAAGTGAGTTGTTTTTGAAAGTCAAAGTGGAAAACTGTTTTGTTGGCAAAAATTCTACAAACATACGGAGAAGGTGAAGTGAAAAGAAAGGTTTTTAAGGCGCAATACTTCTGTGGCCTGACAGAACGTTATTTAATTCACATCGGTAGCTAAATTACTTTTAAAATGCCTTCCCTGCGACAAAGAATACAGCCTCAGTTATAATGCCCGCCATCATCTAAGTAGACAAAGAAGTCAGATAGAAAAGTATTTAATCGCTGGCCAGAAGGTTGCGGGTTTGAAACCCTATGATTTTCCTGTGGTGCGCACTACTGACAATTTCTGACAAAGGCGGAACAACCGCACAGTGCTTTACGAATTTTCAGCACTGAATGGCTTTACTGACAATGTGGCGACTCTCTGCTGGGGAAGCGGACGCAAGGGCCTTCCAAGTCGACTGTAGTGAATCAATCTGAAATCATGAGCATACACTGGATGGAACACAATATTGCTGGAGAGAATTCGACAGCGCACTACCACCTTCATCCTTTTGGGGGCTCATCATGTAGGTGCAGCCCTCTAGTTACTATCACCCTTATGTTCTACCAGAACACTAGTTTCCCTCAACTTCAGGCCGTTTTTGGGATCCACACTATCTGGCAGTCAAAAGAACCCTTTTTGATTTCCCAAGAGAAATAATTCAGTTTACGTTCAGTTTAAGCTGACCCGGGCATTAACAGTCGTGTTATCCTTGGGTAAGTCCACTTGTCAGTTCGATTCTCGCTCCGTATGAAAAAACTCAGTCACCTGATTCACCTCCCCAAATACGTGAAGTCGTTCAATGGAAAGCATACAGAACAACTGTGAGGAGCTCCAAATTTAGATCACCGTTTCACTACAATACAATATAGTACAATATAATGCAATATAATATAACATATTATAGTATATTATATTATAATATAATATAATATAATAACGAATAAAAATAAATAGTATAATATATTGAAAACGACTCAATCTTCCATGACACATCACACGCAGTGCATTTTCCACTAAAATAATAAGCGCTAAGAAGTGTCACATAACCTGGATAAAAAGACATTTGTTCTTTAGGAATTCGGTGTGTGGGACATTCCTAATTGTGCACCAGCGTACAAAACCAACAGTGAGGATTTGACATCTTCACACTAGGTAAGAGAAATTTCCAAAATGCCTCAGAGAAACTAGCTGATTACGCCCAGAATACACGTCAATCAAGACAAAAGTGTGGAAACTTTTAAGTTGCATTTGAATAATTTAGAGCATTCCGGAATAAAGCATTGAGTTTCATGGATCGTTGTGGCAGTTGTAGCCCTATCAATGCTTGGTTAGGTTTATTTCATCAAAACTGTTGAAAGACAGGTGATTTATACCGTAAATATACGCAAGGGAGATGTTTGTAGTTTATGATTTATAGCCCACGGTTCATCAGAATGTAAATGAAATCGATCGTTTCAGCCTAGTAAACCTCCGTTCCGTGAATCATCGAATTTTTGGAATCTAACTGCGTACGAAAATTGTGTTTATTAGAATAGAAACAGCTTAATATTTTGATTTTTTGATTTGAGTTTTCTGAGTTTTTGTGCACCAGTTTTATTATAATCGTTTTAGTAACTTTCTGATTCGTACCGATCTGACTTGGATGTAGCTAAAAGACAACTAACGACGATATGGGTGGAAAGCTGATTAGTGTACCGCAGTTGTCTGGACCGAAACTTGCCCAAACGTAGAATCAGCCGTTCGCTGTCCATGATGAATGGCAAACTACGGCGGCTCTAAGGGTTTTTCTGATGTTAGGGAATGTGATGCTTGCGTGGGCTAATACCCGTACAGAGCATTATTATGTTTCCTGTCGAAGAAACTAGTGGATTAAAATGATCAACTGTGGATTACTTCCTGCCAGTGTTTCGACGCATTCTTAACCTTGAAGCATGGTGGATCAGAGTTAGGATATGGCCAGGATAACATCCTGCCGGTACACGACTGTTTCGTATCCTTGCCGGAATTCAACTGGTTTCTTGTGAAATGATCAGAGGTGAGATCACCCTTTAGGAGATAATGCTCTTGGGCCCTCCTTAGGTGTTTCAATTAAACTTCAAGACTCAGAGAAACCGCCTCTCCTCCTGGACCACGGACGGGTTATGGCACATATTTCGGTCAATGTGCCCTTCAACAGCCCCATTACTTAGACCTGTAAATGATATCCCTGAACGTTGCCCGTTGCAACTGCAACCCACAGAACTGTTTTGTGTGCTTTTGCTGGCTCCTTCATTCCTCATCCTGCCACAGCTGTGTTGGAGCAATGGAACACTAAAAACTCCAGACACCAGTGATGCCGGCGGTTCACAATATCATCTTTAATTATTTAGTTTCTTAAAGAATTTGGCTTTGTTAAGTCTGAAGGAACATTTAGGATCATGTGACTGAGTTTGATGAAACCATGCTATTCAGGGCTTGGTCCCAAGCACTGTACCAAAGGGTCGTAGCACAAGGACTGGCTAACAGAACAGTAAGGTGACTATTCCACCACGAAAATTACTGAATCGTTAAGAAAACTAGAGAAACTACTGAATCTTCTTAAATGATCTGACAGAGAAGATTGGATCTGTTTTTACTGGACATGAAACAACGGAAACGCCATTGAGTAGTCGGTTTAACTCTCACGGAACATCTGATACCAATGAATGGGCTTTGAATTTACCCGGGTGCTTACTGTGAATTAGTGGACGGATCCGGAATAGTTGAGTTAAATGAGAGGTTGCATTACTGGTTTTATGGAAAGTAAA